GAAGGATTCAGCCGTGCAGATGTCTGGATGGGGTCAAGGCAAGTAGAGGGAGGATAAGAACAAAGTGGGAGGAAGCCGCCAGCCTGCTCAGGGCGGGGCCCAGGGCTGCCACACGAGGCAAGACAGAGCCATGGCGGGAAATCATTCTCACACCTTAAGAGCTGGGGACTGGAACTGACTTTCGGCCAAAAAGCCAGATCAGCGCCAGGCCTGGCCACAGTGCCTTACCTTGTGATTCGAATTGTTCCACAGCCTCTTTTACTGCCTCCTCTGGCCCCATCTCGAACTCTTCAATGTTTTCACGAACGGCTGCATCGAAGGTCTCCTGGGTGATGTGCTTGGTGGACATCTTCATCTCCTGCTCATGGGGCGGCAGGTGCCCGCCTGACAGACACTCTCAAACTGAGAAATCAAGACAGGAAGAAAGCTTCATGGAGGGTGAGATGATAACCGTGAGCCTGGCTATCACTTAGGGAAGAGTGACCAAGGGCCAAAGCCCAGGACCTCCCAGGAAAAAGTCTTACAAGCTGGGTCACAGGGAAGGCTGATACCCCAGCACCTGCACAGCCTCTAGAAAGGTAGAAGAGGGCAGATAGTTGACATTTTATCTAAGAAAGAGAAAATGTTAATACATGTCCTTTTAGTTAACAAAGAATAAAATAATAGTTTAATAATATTACAGGTTATAAGTTGTTACGTGATCATAATGAAATAACACGGTTATAATGCCACATTTTACATAATGTGTTATTGACGATATGCCATATTTGTCGTAATATGTAACACGAGAACTATATGGCATTTTATTATATAGTTTAGGTATTTCATATGTAACTATGTAATAAAATTACTTACAATAGTTTCAAAATAAAAATTAATTATAATAAAGTGGAATGCTAAATCAAAAACTAATAGAAATAATTACCATAAGGGGAGGTAGGAAAAAGAGGGATGAGGCCAGGACTAGAAGCTGGATTATTTTCTTCAAATGTACTTTGTTTCATGGTTGTTGTTGTTGTTGTTATTGTTGTTGAAGATTTTATTTATTTATTTGTCAGCGAGAGAAAGAACAAGTGGGGGAATGGCAGGCAGAGGGAGAAGCAGGCTCCCCTCTGAGCAAGGAGCCGGATTCAGGACTCAATCCCAGGACCCCGGGATCATGACCTGAGCTGAAGGCAGACGCTTAACCGACTGAGCCACCCAGGCATCTCATTTTGTTGAAAACTGGCAAATAAAGAATACAGCATTCATCCTACTTCCTAATTACCGGATTATAAAGACAGGAAGAGGAAAAGTTCTGTTTTGTAGATGAATTCCAACAAATTATCCACAACAGGCCAGATTTAGATGACAGTCCCTATAGTCCGTAAAACCGCGAGGAGTGAAACTGATGGGGAACGTGACAATGAGAGGACTGTACCCTCATCCACTGTGTGATTTCACATCGCCAGAAGAGAAACCCAACACTACCTGCCTCCAGACAGGAATGAAATGCACCTGTGAAGTCCTTTTGCCAAAAACTCAAACCCAATCTGACAATGGATCCAATAGAACTTTCTGTGAAGATAGGATATTCTCTATCTGTGCCATCCACGTGGGTTCTAGCACTTGAAATACAGCTAGGGTGACGGAGGCACTGAATATGTATTTTTTATTTTTTGTAAATTGTATTTATTTATTTTTTGTTTTAAGTAGGCTCCACGCCCAGAGTGGAGCCCAACATGGGGCTTGAACCCACAACCCTGAGATCAAGACCTGAGCTGAGATCAAGAGTGGGCTGCTTAACCGACTGAGCCCCCCAGGCGCTCCTACCACTCTCTCTTTTCAACAAAGCGGGAAACGGGCCTCAGGCCTAGAGCCTAACAGGGGTTAACCACTCCTTTCATTTTGCTTCGTTTACTATATCTACTTTGTTTACTGGAGTAATATTAAGTTTCTGTTACAATACCTCACTTTTTAAATTTGTAACAGAGTTTCAAGAATAGTACAAAGAACACTTATTTCCCTCTAACTTTACCAGTTGTTAACATTTTGCCAAGTTAATCTCTGAGAGAGTGTGTTCCTGCACACACATGTGCCATGTGAGAATACACTCCAGGAATCAGATCCTTCCCTCTGAAAGACGTCAGCATGAATCTCCCAAGAAAAGGGCACTCTCACACATTCAATGTGCAACGAAAATTTAACACGGGAGACTTAACAGTGATACGTTACTATTTTCTAATATACACTCCATGACCAACTTTCTCAATTGTCCTAAGGCTGTCTTTCAAAACAATTATTTTTCCCATCCCAGGTCTGTTAAAGAATCGTGCATCACAGAAAATGTAAGGGGAACAAAGGCACAGGGAGTACTAGGACAGCAGGAAGGGAATATGGCAAAAGTCCAAGGGCAGATTTGGGCTGTATGGGAAACAGGCCACTCAAGCCTGTCCTTCTCTTTCTGGAGGTGGCACAGGAAGTGAAGACTCCATTTGCATTTGTGCAGATGTTTTGGGGGAGGAGGAGGACAGGCTCTGGGGCCAGCAGTGGCGACTTGAATCCCAGGCCCTTCACCTAACCTCACTGTTGGTCAACTCTCTCTTGTGTGACATGGGGATAAACAAAGAGAATCTACCTCATAGGACTGTAGTGACATTTCAAGCATACAATCCCTATAAAGTGCTTAAATAGGATTTGGCACAGAGTAGGAGCTCGATAAACATTAGCTGTTGTTCCTTTCCTTTGCTGTCTAGAAGTAATTCAACCAGTTTAATTGTGGGGAGAGGCAGAAGGGCATCAAACACCTCACCTTGCTCCCTTGCAGATAGCCCCCCTACTTCTTTCTGCCCCAGAAGAACAAGGATCCCTTTAGGGGTTGCTAAGAATTTCCATGGTCAAAGGTGAAGGAAAAAAAATAAGGATTTTGTCTTAATAAAGAGCTTCTCAGTGAGGCACCCAGGCTGGTATGTGTGTGGGGTGTTCCTGACCAGTTTCGAGGGGCAGGAACTTCCTAGCTGGGGCTATTGGAGGGATTCTGTTCCTGACTCTGCCACCAAATGATGCTTCCACCACCCCAGACAAGCTTCAGACCTGAGTGGGCCAACAGTGAGTGGCCACACTATCACAGTGACACAGTCCAAAAGGCGAATGTCAATTATGCCTACTTTATGGATGAGAAATCTGAAGCTCAGAGAGGGGAAGAACCTGCCAGAGATCAAACAAGCAGTAAGAGGCCTGGCCATCATACCGCCCTGCTTCATTAACACCTTCCCTCCACCTGGGTTCTCTGCAGAGTGTCTGCTAGCTCTTCCAGGATTCCTCTTCCTGGGTGCCTTCCCTGACCACTTAGAACCTGTATGTGCTTTCTGGCCTTGGCTCCCCTACTCCATGAACCTTCCTCTACCCAGTCCTGAGCTTGGGAGATCAATGTCTGGCTCTGGGAACCCCCTCTACGGCAAGTCCTACAGGGGTCCTCTAGGTTAGGCACGAGGCTAGGTGGCAGAATGAAAGTACGTATCTGGAGTTCATGAGAAAGACGGTGCCTAGGAATGGTCGTCTGGGAGCCACCTGGGAACAGTCCAGGTTAGGAAAGGGGAAAAACAGCATTACCAGTCCCCATGATAGGAGCAAGGTGTCTTGGAGAAAAGAAAGGGAGTTTGCAAGACCTCAAATGACAGCCGGTTTCCCTTTCTAAGCCAGGGTTCCACCACTGAGCAAACGGTGCCCTGACATAGCAGGGACTCTATCATCTTCCTCCACCCGACAAAACCACCCTGGTTCAGGTACAGTCCTAAGGGTAGTCTCACCAGGTTCTTCCCTGCCACACTCTGTACCTCTATTCTCCACTCAGCAGGCAGGGAGAAACTTGAAATCACAGAGACCTCACTGCTCAAAATCCTGCACTGGCGTCCCAACCCTCTCAACAAAATCCAATCTACTTACCAGCACTTTCTCTACATGGACCTTACCTAGGTCTCTTACCTAGATCTTCTCACCTGCGCATCCCAGCCAACCAAGGGACGCTCTTAATAACCACTGTGATTAAAGCAGCCCCACCCTCCTAGCACATCATCCTTTTTGGGTACTGTATCTACCTGGAGCGACATGTCCATTTATCTTATTTCCTTTTACTGTCTAGCCTCCGCCCCCATTAAAATTTAACCTCCACGACAACTGGGGCTCAATTAACTTTGTTCACCACCTTGCCCCCCCCCCCGCCCAGGATGGAGTCAGACACGCAGCAGTCATTCAGTGCATAGGTTATGAATGAATGAATAATGAAAAGAAATGAATGAATAAATGAATGAAAAGAAAGCGGAGGCCAGAAAACAGGGATTTTGTTCCCTGGCGGCTTCTGTAAGAGTCATTCCCCAAAATCAAGTCCCCGAGGGCGGCGCCACAGTCACCAGCCCGACTCCGCGGTGCCCACTCCCCTCCCCGCTCGAGGGAACTCCGCAGCCCCCGCTTCTCACCCGGTTTTCACAGCCACGTGGGGAAAGGGTGGGGCTCCCTACTGTCACCGGCAGAACCACCTCTGGTCCCTTCCGGCCACCGTACGGGCGCAGGCGCGCTGGCGCCAACTCGCCTCGGCCTTCCTCAGCTCCACGGACCGCTCCCGGAGAGATCAAGAGTGACCGCGAGCGCAGGTAAAAGCCGAAAGAGCCAACAGGTGTGCAGCGGCGGCGTCTTTGGCGCGTTTTCCCGGCCGCTTTCCGTCGCCGCGGCTTTCACCAAATTAATCTTTCGCCTCGGGAGCGTCTGCCCTGAGAAGCGAGCAACGCGCCTGCGCAAGAGAACTTGGCGGCGGCCGCCTGCGCCTGCGCATCAGGGCTCGGCGGCAGCTTGCGCCTGCGCGGCGCGGCGCTGCGGAGACCGTTGGCTCATTTGCATGTCCCCGCCTCGCGCGGCGGCGGCGGCGGTGGCGGCGGCGGCGGGTGAGGAGCCTGAGGCGGCGGCGGGGGCGGCTCCGCGCGCGGTGGGTTCGGGGTGAAGCCTGGGCCCGGGCGTCGTCGGTGGGCGGGCCCCCGGGTGGGAGGCCCGGGTTCCGCTCCGGGGCCCCGGGGCCCCGCGATGACGCCGCGAGCTCGGCCCTCGGGCTGCGCGCCGGCCGCGTCCCCGCCTGCTCGGCCTGGGGGGCGGTCTTCGGCCTCCCGGGCCCGACGCCCCCTTGTCTTCGTTCTCGGAGGCCGGTAGGAGGCGGGCCACGCCCGAAAGGGTTCATTCGTTCATTCATTCCACCCGAGCCCAGAGCAATTCCGTTCGTAGGGGGATTACTGCAGCCGACCGCTGTATCGGGCTCTTGACCATTTTTCACCCGGTTCAATCCCCACAACAGTCCCCACCATTAGCTGCCCATTCCATGGATGGGGAAACGGAGGCGCAAAAAGGTTGGGTCACTTGATTTGATCCGGAGCCGCCTGACTGGGAGACCCTATCCTTCGACAGCAGAGAACAAGGGGCGCCCCAGGAAAAGGGTTTAGGGATGAGAAAAGGGGATGATGGTTATAAGAAATGGCTCGAAGGAAGGGCAGGTTTGGGTCTTGAGGTTGGAGGTTTCAAGACGGAAGGGGTATTTTGGTTAAGGACGCAGCCACCGGTTTCCTGAGCGTTGCTTCTCAAGTCTTTTTCCAGTCAGTCTTCAGGGCTTTGTCCCCAATACCAGTGCCCTGTTTTCCAGGTTCCGGTCTGGGCTCTCTGACCTTGGGTGGGTCACTTAGCCCGAGTCTTTCTCTTTTTCTGAATTCTGTCATTCATAACAGGACCCGCTTTTCACTAGGTTGTTGGAAAAACTAAAGGACATTGTGAGAGTCCCTTTCCTCCGAGAGGACCTGGTACAGAGCAAGCTCTGTCACTAGCCAGGGATTCCTTCACTCACTTGTTGAGAGGCAGTTCTCAGAGGGCCGGGCAGTTCTCAGAGCCTCTTTGCATGTCTGTGATACAAGAGAATAGAAATGGGAAAGATCACATCTCTCCTAACCACCATTTGCAAGGGTTATGCTCCGCCCCCCGCTTACATTCAGTTGTGTGTGTTGCTTTACTGCAGTTCTCCACTTAGCCCCAACAGGTAGGGATTCTGAGGAAATGGGTTCGGAGAAGCGAGGGAGATTGTCTAAGATCACAGTGCTTGTTTTGTGCCTTCTAACCAACACACCTGTGAGCTCCGTGAGGGCGGAAGCCCCCTTCAAATAATTCAGCCTCCCTCTGAAGCACCATTTGAATTATAAATTACTATCTCATTACTTTGAGGATTAGGTGAAATTAAGCAGGCTGTGTGTGAGCGTTAGTTGTCATTCTTAGTGTCTTTTTTTCCCCTCTCGCTACAGGTCAGAGAAACATGGCAGCTAGGCGAATTGCACAGGAGACTTTTGATGCTGTTTTGCAAGAAAAAGCTAACCGATATCACATGGACCCCAGTGGTGAGGCCGTAGGTGAAGCTCTTCAGTTTAAAGCTCAAGGTGAATTAAAGTGCTTGGTTTCTTTGGGGGGGAGGGTAGTTATTGGGCGTTCTTTTAGGGTCAGGGCAGGAGGATATCAGTGCCTTGGGCAAACTATTCAACTCCTTGAATAGGGGAGATAAAGTTATCTCTTGGTCTACCTGTCAAATCATTATGCAGAAGTGGGCATTATGATCTGAAGCTTCTCTGCTTCTGTCCTCCCCCACCTGAAGAAGCGTTCTTGAATCAGTCTGTCTCCGTCGTCCCCACCACCGCTGCCCACATTTGAGCTCTTATTAGTTCTCGTCTGGATTATTGTAGTAATCTTCTGAACCGTCTCTCGGCTTTTGGCTCCATTCCCCTCAAATCGGCCCTCCCCGACAGATCTATTAATGCCAGCCTTGCTGGGCCAAGGTCCTGCTTGGATTCTTCGGGGTTCCCCATTTCGGGGTTACATCCTCAAGACAAGTGCAGAAGCAACCAGGTAATGGTAATAGTGGTGTGTACAAGATGAGCGCATGGGAGGTTGCCAAGTGTAGGCCTTGCCTGAATACATTGTCCTTGGAAAGTTCTGAAATGTCACACCCACAGAATAAAAAATGGTGCACACACCGTTTGCAAGATGACGGGGGTCCCTCACCATGGCACCTAACGCTCCCAGCCCTCGTCTCCTGCCTTTGGGGCTCATGTTTCAGTGACACTGTGCTGCCTGTTTGTGCTTTGAATCCCTCCCCGGCCCTGGCCAGCCTGGTTAAGTCTCTCGGGCACTAAGACCTGGCTTGCACGTACGTGACTTCCTTCCCCTAGGAAGCTTCGGCAGGTTTTGAGGTTGATTTGATTGCTCTCCTGGGCCCACTGAGCACTCCCTTTTTTGAGGTGGGCCAGCCTCCTCCAGGCTTCCTTTGGGCCTGTGCTGCCCCCTGCACCAGCCTCTGAACCAGTGTCCACTGAGGAAGCTGCCTCAGTGTTGATCGAGTGAGTCTGAGTGCAGGGGCAGGGATAACTTGTGTACTTTGGATGGGGAGAAACCAAAGCCTAGAAGCTATCTTCAGCTACTGTACTTTTAAAAATGCTTAAGTATTTCTACACAAGAACATTCCCATTATAAGGGATTGGAAGAATTAAGAAGTAGTTAGAAGTATGGGGCGCCTGAGTGGCTCAGTTAAGCATCTGCCTTTGGCTCAGGTCATGATCCCAGAGTCATGGGATCCCATATTGGCTCTGCTCAGTGGGGAGCCTGCTTCTCCCTCTGCCGCTCCCCCTGCTTGTGTGCACGTGAGCGTGCTCTGTCTAATAAATAAAATTTTAAAAAGAAAAAAGGCAGTAGTTAGGAGTATAATGTAAAAGTTTCTAGCTGCTTCCTTACCCCTCAGAGGTAACCATATCTGTGGAGTTTTGTGAATACTTCAGTTCTTCTATGATACGTTTATGTAATCCTAAATACTTAACGTATGGACATATGCATACAGACACATTTATATGTATATATTTGTATGTGTATGTATACACATGTATATATCTAGAGATTTAAATCTTGGTTTATTTTTATCTAGAGACTCAGACGTTAACTGACATGTATCTTAGTCTCCTCAAGAAAAATGGGGGGTGGGAGCTGTACCAGGAAACCAGCAGGATGCTAGATGGTTCCGGAACCACCACTTTGTCACAGAGCTAGCTGCATGGTCCATCCACCGGCGTTTCACTGTGTCTGTTCTAGTCTGTATTGCTTTACAAGGCGTCTGAAAACCCCGTTGTGCAGACCCCATCCCCCCCCCCCCCCCCCCGCTCCTAATGCTGTTTCCCTAACCGTGCTGTCAGTAGCCATCAATACCTGTGTTATCCCGGTGGACTTTTTGCTGGAACATCCATATTCACTCTTCTACCTGAGTGGTCAGTCCCATGCACTGGCCAGGGAGGTTTCCCCTTTGCTCCAGACCCCTTTATGGCTTTCCATCTTGTTTGGAATAAACTGTGGAGTCCCATTGAGCCTGACTTGATTTGTTACCCCCATTCTGTTCACATCTTCTAGCATAGCGGGTCCTTAACTTTGCTGCTTGTTAGAATCATCTGGGGACCCTTTGATTTATTTATTTTATATATATATATTTATTTATTTACTTACTTACTTATTTTAGTGAGAGAGCACGTGCGCAAGCTAGAGAACATGCACACGTGCATGGGGGGGACAGAGGGGGAAGGAAAGGGATAAGCAGACTCCACAATGAGCGTGGAGCCCGACGTAGAGCCCAATCTCATGAACCTAAGATCATGAGTGGACTCAACCTTAACTGAGCCACCTAGATACCCCTTGGGGACCCTTTAAAAATCCTAATGCCCAGGCCACATCTGCATCCCAATTAATTAAATCAGGACGCCTGGGGATCCTGAAGGACTCCAGTAAGCAGTAGAGTTTAGGAGCCACCTTTTATCACTTTGCCCCTCGTTCCTCTGTTCCATTCTGGCTCTACTCATTCCTTGCTAGTCTTACCTCTGGGCTTTGTCCTGATGTCCCACTGCCTGGAAGGCTTCGCCCATAACTGCACAGTCTGGCCTCTTACACCAGGCCTCTGCTGCACAGATACGTTGCTGTCAGAGCAGCCCTCCTTGACCAGCCTGTCCAAAAAATGGCTCTCATCTTCCTGTTCCTGTCTGCTTGATTCTTACAGATGGTGGATTTCTGTTTATTGTTTGGCTCCCTCAACTGATAGATCTAGAGGAGTAGGGACTTCACTGTCTCCTCTCCCTGCTCTATAACTCCATTGCCTGAGCAGTACCCACACACAGTAGTTGTTCATTTGCTTATTTGTTGAACAGATCAACTTGGGTTTATACACAGCTTTGCTTCTTGTGGTATCTTGGCCCATTACTCCTTCCTGGCATCTCTCTACCTTTTCTTTTATTTGACTTCTTGACTAGGTAATATTCTGCCAATATAAGCTAGAGAGTTAGAAAGCAACTCTGCAAAGTCTCCCTGAGGCCTGCTCTTCCCGTGTTCCTGGCTTTTTACAGAGTTTCTTTATGTGTGAATAAGCAAGTGCAAATTTAGGCTCCTGTTTTTCTCATTTCTACACATTCTGTTCCGTTTTCATTGGGGCCTCTCTCGCTGTGGCTTATTTAGCTTCTGCGTTCTCTCTTACCTCTTTCGGTCTCTCTGTTTTTTCAGAGGATTGGTTGGCCCAGTGGACATTTGTAAGGGAGCCTGTCTGCCACCTTTGGGTCAGATGCTCAGCTATGGTTGGCTCTGGTGGGTGTAGTGTCAGACATGGCTCCAGCCATAGTGGCACTGTGATCTAACATTTTCTCCTCAGAGGCAGGGAGGGCAGGCAGCCGCCAGAGGAGCTGTCTACTGTGTGGTAAGGTATAAATACACAAGTTGAATAAAGTTGTAGTAGTTGTAATAAAGTTGTAGTAAAGAAGCCCAGGTTATTTGGGGGCCAGACACCCTTCTGTGAGTCTAAAAGAGGGCTTATAAAAGAGATGCCTGCAGAGCCTGGACAGCAAGGCCAAATGAGTGACAGGCACTACTGCCCAGCCTCTGTGGCCTGTTTATCCAGGCACATGCAGGTCCAGTGCTTGGAGGTCTCCTATTTTTATAAGTTGACAGTCCAGATTTTTAAGTAAAGCCACCCACATTTTAAATGTTAGAAACAAATACAGATTTCTAAAATGTATTCTGGCAAAAAAAGGACCCCTCGTGGCTGCTGGTATGTGGGCTGTCTTTTTGCAACCTCTGGTCTAAATTACCTTTGTGCTTCTCTTTGAATCATTTATTTCAGATCTTCTAAGGACAGTCCCAAGAGCCAGAGCAGATATGTATGATGACATTCCTAGTGACAGCAGATATACTCTGGCTGGATCTGTAGCCCATGCTCGAGACACTGGAAGAGAAAGCCTGCGAGGTGATGTATTTCCAGGACCTTCCTTCAGATCAAGCAATCCTTCTGTAAGTGAAGACAACTACTTTCGCAAAGAGTGTGGCCGGGATCTGGAATTTTCCCACCCTGAATCCCGAGACCAGGTTTTTGGCCACCGGAAATTGGGACATTTCCGTTCTCAGGACTGGAAATTTGCACTCCGTGGCTCTTGGGAACAAGACTTTGCCCACCCCGTTTCTCAAGAATCCCCTTGGTCACAGGAGTATAATTTTGGTCCTTCTGCACTCCTGGGGGACTTTGGTTCCTCCAGGCTGATTGAGAAAGAGTGTTTGGAGAAAGAGAGTCGGGATTATGATGTGGACCGTCCAGCGGAGGCAGACTCTGTGCTCAGGGGCAGTGCCCAAGTCCAGGGCAGAGGCCGAGGTCTAAACATCGTTGACCAGGAAGGGGCCCTTTTAGGAAAGGGAGAGACTCAGGGCTTGCTCCCAACTAAAGGGGGAGTTGGGAAACTTGTCACACTAAGAAGTGTGAGCACAAAGAAAGTACCCACTGTAAATCGTATTACTCCCAAAACTCAGGGCACCAACCAAATCCAGAAAACCACCTCAAGTCCTGATGTGACCCTGGGGACAAACCCAGGGACAGAAGATATCCAGTTTCCCACTCAGATCCCTTTGGGGCTTAATCTGAAGGATATTCGGCTCCCCAGAAGAAAGATGAGCTTTGACCTCATAGATAAGTCTGATGTCTTTTCAAGATTTGGGATAGAAATAATCAAATGGGCAGGATTTCACACCATAAAAGATGATGTTAAATTTTCCCAGCTTTTCCAGACTCTCTTTGAACTCGAAACCGAAACCTGTGCTAAAATGCTTGCTTCGTTCAAATGCTCCTTAAAACCAGAGCACCGAGATTTTTGCTTTTTTACTATCAAATTTTTAAAGCACTCTGCTTTGAAAACACCCAGAGTTGATAACGAGTTTTTAAACATGCTTTTAGACAAAGGTGCTGTGAAGACCAAAAATTGCTTTTTTGAAATCATAAAGCCCTTTGACAAGTACATCATGAGGCTTCAAGACCGGCTCCTGAAGAGTGTCACACCCCTGCTCATGGCATGCAACGCCTATGAGCTGAGTGTCAAGATGAAGACCCTTAGTAACCCCCTGGACTTGGCTGTTGCCCTGGAGACCACCAATTCTCTCTGCCGGAAATCTTTAGCCCTTTTGGGACAGACTTTCTCCTTGGCCTCCTCTTTCCGGCAAGAGAAAATCTTAGAAGCCGTGGGCCTCCAAGATATAGCTCCCTCTCCTGCCGCATTTCCAAATTTCGAAGACTCTACTCTGTTTGGGAGAGAGTACATCGATCACCTGAAGGCCTGGCTGGTCAGCAGTGGGTGTCCCCTCCAGGTCAAGAAAGCTGAACCTGAGCCAGCCCAAGAGGAGGAGAAAATGGCTCCTCCTACCAAACCCGAAGTTCAGGCCAAGGCTCCGAGTGGTCTGAGTGATGGTAAGGAAAGCACTGAAAGTCCCTGTTTATTGTGATTAGTTGGTTTTTCATGTGTTCTTGCAATGTCTCTTATTTTTGAGATTTTTGCCCTGAAGTTTTTTTAGCCAACTGGAAACATTCAGAGTTTTAGTAGAAAACTCATATTGGCCAGTGTGCGTGGGCGCTGTTCATTCTGTAAGCGTATATTAGGAATCTTCTGTCTACCACAGAAGTTTTTAGGCGTTTCTGGGTCACAGACTCCTTTGGGAATCTGATGAAAAGGTGTGGCGCTTGCCAGGAAAAAGGCACACATATTTGTACACAATTCTGTCTGTGCTTTCTGGGGGGTTATACCATCCTGCAGCCAAGGTTAAGAACCCTTTGTTAGCATCTCCCTCCCCCCATTCTAAGATATTCATTCATAGAGGGGAAAGTAAGCACTGGGCACTCTCTCTGGGGTGTGTCTAGGCTCCTAAGGGACAAGTCAAAAAACCCTCCTGTGCCAGGATTAAGGGGATGGAAGAGACCCCAGCCCCGGGGAGGCCGGGAGGCCATGTTTGAGCTGTGTTGAGGGATCAGTGGAGATTAGCCACATCAGCCCAGGTAGTAGAAGTACGTTTCTACCCACTTGCTTTTCTAGAATGGCTAAAAGTCGATAGATCAGTTAGGTACATCTGGTAACCTGTAGTTAATGAGTCAGCTTCGTGGAGGTTCCAGAAAGGCCAAGAAAGAGGTAATAGTTTAAAAAAAGGAAGAAGTAGTAGTAATAGAAATATTTGGCTGTTTGGTGTCCCTTCTCTCTCCCTCTTAGCACCAAGGATGGATGCTCTCCTAGCCCAGACATCCCAGAAGTCATGAGCATATGTGGTGCCCATGTAACCAGCAAGGAAGCACTTTCCCCCGCCTTTATCTCAAGAGGAAGTCCTTTTCCCCACAAGGCAGTGTTCAGCTTCCATTGCCCTAGCCAAGTGGGAAAGCCTTGTTTGTCCCTGAATCTCTTTACTACTCTGCACCCTTATGGAGCCCTGACTGCATTAGGCACTGGGTAGGTCCCACCATGGATGGGCAGCCACCCCTCGTCCTGGAGAGGGGGCCTTCCAGAAGTGGGCTCAAGGCTGAAGCAGGACCCTTCCTCCCCACACGCCTCATAGTGGGGGAGTGGAAAGTTAGTGTAATGATGATAATGAAGAACTTTGTTTGAAGGAGGAAGAAAATACCCATAACTGAAAGTCTCCCACCACTGTTTTCTGGTTTTGTTGCTCTGCACGTGCCCCCCACAACAGCAGTCTTGCTGTACTGAAAACACTACAGGCTGTTCTTTTACAGGATCATCAAAGGCCTTTTTCCGTGTTTTTGCAGCATTTGCTGCCTCATGATACTGACCTAACGTAAATGACCTCACCCTTCCCTTGATGTGGGACTCAGGCTGCCTAGAGGCCTCTGAGGCTGAGCAGAGTCGGGTTTCCTTGTAACTGATGTCTGCAAACCTGGGCTGTCTGGACAGCAGATAGCTGGCACCAGCGCCCGTCTCATGGGGGGCTGCCTTGCCGCTGCTTCCATTACTGTCAGAAACATGGGGATGACATCTTCCGTTGAATGTTTGGATTACCGCTATTGTTATTTTTTAAGTTCCCCTCTACAGAATATGGTCAGGGGAGGAGGTTTGTGGGATCAAAGCTGGGATGCTTGCTTGTGGTTACCTTCTCGAGAGATGGTTGCAGTAATCCACAAATTGCATTGTTTTTCAAAGCTTCCAACTTTGAACCTTTTATTCTTTGGTAAGATCCTGTAAAACTAGCAATTCTCTAAGATGAGAGCCGATATAAAAAAAAAAAAGGAAAGGAAGCAATTGCAACAGGGAAATAGTTGCAGTAGCATGACAGTTGAAGAATCCATTTAGCGGGTATAAAGAGTTCACAGTGAGGTTTAAAATAAGCTCAAAGCTGCAACTCAGGCATGAGCAAGGACAGGACAAACTGGGAAACCTCTCCAGTTCAGGAGTGGTTTTTATCAAATGACTAAACAGACCGTTCTGTGCAGTAAAACCAGCAAATATCTGAAAATGAAACAGTCTTACTGAGTGCCAGATGCTGTTCTGTGTTGCCAGGGGCGTTTTTTAAATTGAAATTCATGTTAAGGTGGCTCAGTCAGGGGGTGGCTCAGTGGGTTGGAGCCTCTGCTGGGTGGCTTAGTGGGTTGGAGCCTCTGCTTTCGGCTCAGGTCATGATCCCGGGGTCCTGGGATCGAGCCCCGCATCAGGCTCTCTGCTTGGCACAGAGTCTGCTTCCCTTCCTCTCTCTCTGCCTGCCTCTCTGCCTACTTGTGATCTCTGTCTGTCAAATTAAAAAAAAAAAGAAAGAAAGAAAGAAAGAAAGAAATTAAAAAAAAAAAGGTGGCTCAGTCAGTTAAAGCTCTGAGTCTTGATCTCAGGGTCCTGAGTTCAAGCTCCCTGTTGGGCTCCACACTGGGTCTGGTGCCTACTTAAAATAACAAAAACAAAAAATACACCTCATATTGAAGGAAATTTACTCTTTAAGAAATGTTTTTCTTTTCATACATTCAGCAAATATTTTCTGTAAACACCTATCTTATGGCCACTGACTTCTTTGATTAGGGAATTTTTCTTTGCAAATTTACATATATGTTTTCTGATTATAAAGCACATGCATATTTATTTTTTATAGATAAAGCACAAAGAAAATGAAGTTGCTGGTTAAGCTACCCATAGAGAATATCTATTAATATTCTGGCATATTTCCTTTTTTTTCTGTATGTCCTTATTTATGTATCTTTTCTTCCTGCCTTCATACTGGAAATCATAATCTAGATTTTTTTTATGCATTTTGTACAGAGTCACATTTTATATCTTTATGTTTTTCACTTAATGTGAACATTCCAGTTAAGCAATACCTGTCAAACAGAATAGAATTGCTACATATCATTTCCTTCTGTAGAATATGTGCATATGTTGCTCTGTACAGTCATTGTAAGCTTGTGACTTTCTCTTTTAGTGGTTATGCTCTTCTGTCTTTTGGGAGGATGTTTTGGGTATTGGTTTTTAGAATACCATGCTGCTTTCCTCTCTTCAATGCTGATATCTCTTGAATGAGGATTTTGGTCACCGATGCCTGCTTAAATTCCGTCCTAAGCCTCTGACTCCGTCCTGGTCATCCCAGGCCCGATCTGGTCCAGTGTATTTCTCAGAAAAGCCCTTTTTTTGTGTTCCAGCGGTACCCCAGAGAGCGGATCACAAGGTGGTGGACACCATCGACCAACTGGTCACTCGTGTTGTTGAAGGCAGCTTGTCTCCCAAAGAGAGAGCTCTTCTCAAGGAGGACCCTGCTTACTGGTAGGTCTTTAAATGTTGCCCCTCTGAATCCCTCCCATAGAACACACAGCAAAATTTGTGTCCCGATGGTGTCCGATGCAGAGGGTGAGATAGCAATTTTGAGGCGTGGTATTAGCCAGTGGGAAGAGCATGAGAGAGGGTCGGGTTCACCTACATTCAAGCCCCAGCTCTGCTGCCACCCTGCCATGGTCTCCCTGCCACCCTGGCCTTCTCTCATCCGGGCAGGGAGCCCCTCATGCCTCTGTGCTGGCTTAAGGATGAGGGGAGAGGCGCGTGCAAAGAGCACATGAAGATCAGGGTGGGTCACCTCAGTTGCTCATGACTTACTGCTGCTGTCTGTTAAACTCTCTTCTCCTTTTGCCTTATTGCCTCTTCACGCGAATGGAACAAGTTTTTAAAATTAAAGTTTTCAGCATCAATACAGTACTTGCTGGGGCACCTGGGTGGCTCATTCGTTAAGCATCGGGCTCCCTACTTGGCAAGAATTCTGCTTCTCCCTCTCCCAGTCCCCCTGCTTGTATTCCCTCTCTCGCTCTGTCTTTCTCTGTCTATAAATAAATAAAAATTTTTAATAAATAAATAAAATCTTTTAATATATACATACATACAGTACTTGCTTATTAGAGGAAGTGGAGGGAAGCCCCCCATGTGCCCGCCAGTATCTACTGACAGTTTTCCTTGTTTGCTTCGTTTCTCTGCCTGTTGTGGGCTGTTTGGGTTTTCGTGTCATGTAGCTATGATTTCACTGTGCTATAATGTATCTTGCTCTTTTGGGGTTTATGTATGTATTTTTCTTGCTCATTTTAGATAGCACAGGAAAATGCTTGTCGTATTCCTTAATTTTCATAAACATTTTCAGACAGCTGCGTTTGTTAGTCCATAGAGGAGGTGGCCGGAGTTCAGTCAGCCATCCCTCTCTGGTTACACTTTCAGAATTATTTTGATTGCATACTGTTTCAAACTGGTTAAGTGAATGGCTTAATGCACCCCATTTTCTTGTGTGTTGAGGACTACCTCTAGATTGCTGCAAGTGGAAAAATTTCACACTTTAACTTTTTTTTTAATATTTTATTTATTTTTAAAAATTTTATTATTTATTTGAGAGAGAGAACATGTAAGCAGGGGAGGAACAGAAGGAGAGGGAGTAGGAGAGTTTCCAGCAGACAGCACACTGAGCACAGAGCAGAGCCCAATGTAGGACTCGATCCCAGGACCCTGAGGTCATGACCTGAGCCAAAACCAAGAGTCAGGAGCTTAACCAGCTGAGCCACCCAGGCGCCCCTAACTTTTTAAATCCTAAAAGTGGCATATGTCCTTTAGAAAAATGTAATAGAAAAAAGTATTAAAGAAGGTAAAGATGCTATTACTCAGTGCTCCACCACTTCTCCCTCTCAGCGTGTCCTGTGTTTCAGACCTAACATCGCTGTCCCTGTTAGCAGCGGTTGCGTGCTCTTCCGTTGTACACAGGTACCCGAGTACACTCAACCATTGCCAGTTGATGCATTCTTAGATTCTTTCCAGTTTTTCTTCACTGTAAACACCATTATGATAAACAGTGTTTTCCATTTATTTCTGTCTACATTTCTGGCAGTTGATTAGGGTAATATCTGGGAGTGAAATTTCTGGGTTAAAGAGAAAGTTAACTTGAGAGGCCTTTGATCTCTGTCGTTTTTTCTCAGCTGCAACACGATTGACCTTTGAGACTGGATAATCCTCTGGTGGGGGCTGTCCTGGGCTTTGCAGGACACTTAGCAGTGTCCTTGGCCTTCCCCCTTACACTAGATGCCAGTAGAGTTCTCCAGCCCAGACCCTGCCCACTGGGGGCAGGAGTTGCCCTTGATGGAAGCCATCAGTCTTTATCATCAGGTTACTTTCTGTGGCTTATCTGTCCCAGTTGAGACCTGTTACCACTCTCTAAGCATGCCATGCCCTCACCTGTGTTTTAACTTAAAGATAATTTCATAGTGTGATGTTTTACCTCCTAGTCCTTTGTTAACTAACAAAGATTATACATTTCCTCATAGTATATCTCATTGTAGTTCCTCTTTTTAAGTGTCTATTTAGGTCTTGTGTGATCAATATTGTACCCCTTCTGGACTCAGTATGCTTGCTGTTGTAATTGCTAAAAGTGCTTCAAAAGCATAAATTTCCTCGTAAAGTTACTAGAGTTTTGGTCTTAACCAGCATCATTTACCAGGCGGGAGGGTTGGAGCTTACATGGTTTTACTTTTACAGGATTCTCAGACTCATTTGGATTATTTTCATGTTTAGAATGAGGTGTGCATATAATTTAAAAATTAAAAAAAAACAAAGAGCCCAATAAGCAAATTGTCCCATCATAATTTATTGAAAACTTGATTATCGAACACTCTTGCATTCTCCGTACTTGGTACTATTCTCGGCACTTTTCTGATTTAAGCACTAGCTGACTGAATCTTCATAAACCTTGTGAGGCAGATATGTTCTCATCCTTATTTTATAGATAGGAAACTTGAGGCTCAAAGAGGCCTCTTACCTAAAGAGTGCAAAACTAGTAAGACAAACTTGAGATTCTCATTCAGGCTCTTGGCCTCAATCAGTGTGCATGCTGAAGGAAGGAAGCTAGATAACCTCAGATTGAAGGGTGAAAGCAGAGAACAAATCCTCTTGGGTAAGGTACTCCAGACTTGGAAGGCCTAGGGGCAATTTCCAGGTGATTGGGCTGGAGAGAAAGGGGACCCCGAGAAGACTGAGGACATGTACCTCTGCATCACAATTGACCAGGCTCATGGTCACTGACGGCCAGTGGTAACAGACAGAATCATAGCCAGAGTTGTAACTATGGGAGGTACAAAATTAGAAGTAAGCATTGAATTAGAAATCAAATATTTGAGGAAAATCATCATGAAGAAGAGTCACCAAACTCAAATAGAGCTGACACCTGAGAAGATGGAGTTACTATAAGAAAAATAATGAGTCTAAACATATACGTGTGTAATTAACAGTCTTAGGTGGAAAATAGTATATTGTATCCATGAAACAGAGCTTTTTGTTTTTGAAAAGAACCTGTGTTAAAGATCTTGGAAATGAAAAGTCTCACTGTTGAAATAAAAATGTTAGTGGTTGGCTAGAATAGACCCAGATGAAGAATGGATTAGGTAGCTGAACTCAGACTTAACTCTGAAAACTCCTTCAGAAGGAATTACTGGAGACTATCCCAGGAGAAGATGTGGTGCCAAGAAAGAATGATAAGAAACTAGTAAGCATAGGACTTTGGTGTGTACATTAGAATTCATAAAGAGTACGTGTATGTAGTTCGTCAAAAATATCAGTTGAATTGGGGCGCCTGGGTGGCTCAGTGGGTTAAGCCTCTGCCTTCGGCTTGGGTCATGATCCAGGGATCCTGGAATCGAACCCTGCGTCTGGCTCTGTGTTCAGCCGGGAGCCTGTCTCCCCCCCGCCCCGCTTGCCTCTCTGCCTACTTGTGATTTCTGTCTGTCAAATAAATAAATAAAATCTTAAAATAAAAACAAAAACAAAAACACTGTCTGGGGGAATGGGATTTTTATCCTAGGCTTCGGAGTCACCTGGGTGCTGACTCTGCTTTCTGCTCTGGGTGAGGGGGTACCCTTGCTGGGGCTGTGTTTAATTAACAGGATAACCAGACCGTTTCTGTTAGTCAGTGCTCCTTTATGTGGGAACCCTTGCTTGTTATGGGGCCATCCAGCAGGATGGTGTTGTTGGCCCAGCAGAGTGTCCGGGGCAGCGATGGAGCAGGCATGTAGCCTGTTCCCTCCGATCCAGGCAGACCTTAACGGTGCGGATAGCAGCGGCGAGAGCTGCCCGGGGAGCTGCCCCCCTGGCGGCTTTCCGCGTTAGGCCGTGCTGCCAGCACCCTGCTTCACGCGGCCCTGCATCCAGTCAGCCTCTGTCATTGCTAATCGGGAACCTCACCAGTTCAGCCACCTTTTAATGTCAGGCAGTCTGAAGGCCACCTGAAATGTTCCCCTGCCCACCAGTGTTCATTCCTCATGAACACAAACTGAAACTGAACATTCTCGAACTCCTGAAATGTGCGAGGTCCCAGAGAAACTCTCAGCACATCCCAGGAAAGGAAAATCACATGGGCCACATTACATAATGCATTTAAGTCAAAACTAGCAACAACCAAAATGAAACTTGCTTCTGAATAACTTTTGAGTGGAGGGGAAGAGAACGGACATTAGAAACTTCACAAGGAAGCAGCAGGGGGCGCTCTGCACCCTGCATCCAGCTGCAGCCGTTCAATGTAGGACACCTTTGTCAGAAATAGAGTGAATGTGAGCCTTCACCCATGAGGCCAGAAGGAAATGGCAAGAAAAGCCCAGACCCTAGAAGGGAAGGATTAATGGAGATGAAAGAAGGTGCTCACGAAGTGGAAAACAGTAAAGAGTGTAAGTTCCCCTCCGTGCCTCTTACTGTCCTTTCCCCAGGGCTAATTAAGTTTGCTTTATATTCTTTCCACCCATGGGAAGAAAGCAGATGCACATGGATCGGTGTGCACAGAGCAGATTGATGTGGTCCACATCGATGCTGTTCTTCTGAAGCGTGCTGCCTTCTCCGCCTATATCATGGGTGTCTTTCTGTGTCAGTGCTTGGGACTCACCCTCCTTCTCTTTCCTATACTGTTTTCTTTCTCTTCTTTTTTAAAAGATTTTATTTATTTATTTATTTATTCAGTTGACAGAGCGTGCACAGGCAGGGGGAGCAGCAAGCAGAGGGAAAGGGAGAAGCAGGCTCACTGCTGAGCAGAGAGCCTGATGGGCTCGATCCCAGCACCCTGGGATCATATGAGACCCAAGCCAAAGGCAGACACTTAACCACCCCAGCACCTCTGTCTCGTTATGACACCAGCATGTGATTTCACAGCCACGGCACCCTGGTCTCGGTGCAGTTGAAGCCAGGGTCTCTTGAGTACCCAGCCTCCCTGGGCCCTCTGAAGTATGTCATCTCCCAAAAACGGCACCCACAAGCGACAGAGTGGCAGTGTCTCTGTGGTTACAGAGTGACTGTGTTACGAGGCCACCAGAAATAGTGAGCACCTTCATCACTGGGGATGAAACCCAAGGAGGAGCGACCAGTGCTGGTTTAGAGCTCCCATTGCCCTGCAGTTACTCTGGGCAGGAGGGGACCCGGGTCTTCCGTGGGGCAGAGCCTCTCAGATGGCAGGCAAGGGTGTGCAGAAATGGGATCATAGCATTGATTCGGTATGTGGTGGTGTTTTAACCAATGTCCTTCTGTGCCTGTTTTGTTATGTAGGTTTCTGTCTGATGACAGTAGTCTGGAGTACAAGTATTACAAACTGAAGCTGGCAGAAGTGCAGCGGGTCAGCCACACCTTGCCGGGAGCAGATCAAAAGCCGACAGCAGCCGAGTGTGCAGTCCGGGCCATGCTGTACGCCCGGGCCATCCGGAGCCTCAAGAAGAGGCTCCTCCCAGGCCGGCGGCGGGGGGGGCTGCTCCGCACCCAAGGGCTCCGGGGCTGGAAGGTGAGGAGAACAACCACTGGGACCCAGACCCTCCTCTCCTCAGGCACCAGACTGAAACACCATGGCCGGCAGGCTCCAGGTTCATTGCAGGGAAAGCTGTCCCAGCCAGACGGAAATGATACTGCCAAGGACTGCCCACCTGACCCGGCCGGACCCTCTCCTGGGGACCCCAGCCCAGAAGCCTCGGGCCCATCCCCCAAGCCGGCAGGAGTGGAAGTCTCTGGAGCCCCTCAAACCTCGTCTCCCTGCCCATCTGTTGACGGTGGGTGCTCCCTCCCACCCCACTCTTATGGGCCCTAGCCCCAACTCTCCAACCTCCAGGGGTCTCTCGGGAGTGGGGGTGGGAGACCTGGGTGGTCTGAACGGTGCTGCAGCAGGCAGAAGCAATGGGGACCTGGTCAGGACAGGCGCACGTGGAGGCACACTCCACTTATTTCCTAGAGGGGCTGGCCCTCCAGTCCTGTAGCCATGTTCCTCCTGTCCGGGGATGGAGCTGACTCACCGTGCACCCCTGTAAGGTTGTCCTACTGCCCCCCGCCCCCGAGTTGTGCTGTGGGCCCATGCTTGGAGCTTCGAGCTCCTCGATCCATTTCTCTGTTCTTGCCCCTCTTTACGTTCCATAGGGCCGCCCTCATCTCTTATTCTGCTCCTTCTTCCCCAAGGTCTCTGTTTCCTTCCTCAGACTTAGCTGACCTGCAATTTCTTCTGTTTTTCCTGGCCATTACTTTTTCTCTGTGTGGCAAGCCTGCCCCTGACCCACTTAGCACTGGGTGCGAACGGAGAGGGGAACCAGAATCTACACCACTGCTACATTCTCTAGCTGTCGCCATTTAACAAGCCATTCTGAACTGTGGCTTCAGACGGGGGGCGCAGTGCTCCGAGTCTGCTGATCTGGGCTGGGCCCACACGTGTGTTTGCAGGCAGCAGGTTTTATGGGGCCATCGGCCGAGGTAACGGGTGCCTGGGTCATATGCCTGTCGCCCCTTAGCAGCCAGCCTGGATTTGTTCACCTGACAGGAGGGCGGTGGAGGTGCTCAAGGCCTCAAGCCCTGGTTCCACACTGACGCCTCCTCCTGTCAGTCAGCAGGCAGCTCCGGGCCAGCCCCGATTTGGGGGACAGAAGAGGATCTGCCTCTGCTGGACAGAGCTGCAGAGTTCCATGGCAAAGGGCAGGGATGCAGTGAGGGGACACCAGGGGCTGTCTTTATAATTAGTCTTCATACCCACCCCCAAAGCAGAAATTGGAAGCAACAACTCAGAACTGACATGTGACAGTCGCTTTGTTTTGTAGTTGACACAAAGACCATGGAGACTGCGGAGAAACTGGCCAGATTTGTTGCTCAGGTGGGACCAGAGATTGAACAGTTCAGCATAGAAAACAGCACCGACAACCCCGACTTGTGGTATGTAGCCATTGTGCCCTTTGAATTTGAGTGTCCTGAGAGCCCCTGGGGTGGCCTGGCAGACACTTCTGCCCCGGGAGGCACCCGAGGAGAAGTCATGGCTTCACTTCTGCCAAGCTCAGGGCTGTGAGGAGGAAGCATCTGCTTTGGGGTGTTGGACGGTACTGCCCTCATCTGTGGCATCAGGAAAAAAACCTCCCCTGGAGGGAAGTTTAAGCTGTATTTGAAGGTCAAGTGGACTTTGATCAGGGCAAGGGGGAGAGAGCACCCAGGCATAGAGGCCAGTGGGTTCCCCAGAACCTTTACAGAGGCCGCGTGTTGTGGGGGAGGGGGAGGCGGGGCACTGTCCCTGGTCACACCAGTGCTCCGGGTGGTGATGGATGGCGCCCGGTCCGGCCGTGGGCAGCTGGCACTTCCACTAGCAGTGGCCTGGCATCCTTTTGCCAGGAGGGGTGCTGCTACCACTGTCATTCCTCAGATGCAGTGCCCACTCAACAACACACAGCCTGTGGGTGACAGAACCAGGAGCCTGCTCTGCCTTGTGGGGAGGGTTCACCTCTTTCAGGGGGAGGCTGCCCAGGAGCTCCATGTTCCTGGTACTGAGCCGTAACCCAGGTGGGGATTCCATGTTGTGTGTATTGTATCCTCCCATCGGCTGGGAACTCTGGACCCTTGCCTTGCTCCTGCCATGCTGGAGAGCCATGCCTTAATCTAATTAATGAAGACTAGGGTTGAAAACTACATGTGTCCTAGAGCATTGCTGGGACCCAGTAGTGACCCAGCATATTCTTCTAGCTTGTTGGGGACCTTGAGTAGGTTCTGCACTGGGCCTGCCTCCTGCTTCCTGTGAGACCCAGTCCAGCCTCGGGGAGCACCGACGGCTTCATGGGGGTCAGCCCGTTCTGCCTTTTACAGGCCTGGTGACTTTGGGGCCAGCTGGGCCTAGCACGCCTCACAGTTGGGCAGGACCCGGTTAAGGGGATGGCTCTGCTAAGGGCAGCCGGGAGCATTCCATCGGTTGTGTTGTCTGTCTGTCTGTCTGTTTTTCTCCAAGTGAGAGTTCTGCAGTATTCTGGGCACCTGCGACTGCCAGGTTTGAGTTTGTCACCATTTCTGACAGCCTTTTCTGAGCAGTGTTCCTTAGGCAGCACTGTCCCTTCCGTCCCCACACACAGTCCCCCACTGTACAGCAACATTAGGTGGAGTGATTCCCTCTGTCCCCCAGTCCAGTGCTCAGGGAGCAGTTTGAGAATGACTGCACCCGGCAGCACACATACATAATAAAGGTCGAAGTGATTTTGTGTTTCTTTTCCTTTAGAAAAATTATACCTCTAACATGCTCAGTAGTCATCTGAGTTAAATCCTTTTTCTGTGTGTGGTTAGGTCATCAATTTGACATATAGTCAGGTTCATTTGTTTCTACAGAGATTCAGTTTAGGGCTATATTTTTCTACCCTTTTTAATTTAATTTTAAAAATAAATTCAGCATTTGAATGGTTCTAAAGTAGAAATTATAGAAGGTAAGCTCAGAGAAGTCTCTGAGTGGGAATCCCCCAACAACAACAGGAAACCATTTTCATTCAATTCTAGGGCGTATGTGCCTTTCCCTTTGTTCTTCTACCACTAACCCCTTTGTTCTTACATGTAACTTTCTATATGTAATAGACACTTTTGCATCTTGCTTTTTACCCTTCACCACCTATCCAGAAGTCCCTTGTGCCTTCCCCACCAGTCCCTTCATTCTTTTGTCCACTGTCGTTCTCCACATGTAGCCACACCAGGGTCACTCCCCAGCCTTCGTCATTCACATTGTTCTTATGGCCTTATCAGTGGCCTCACACACAATGACTTCCCGGAGAGAATCTTCAGGTATCTTCCAGAAGGGGGACTGTAGGGCCCCAAGGTCAGTGCACTTGTAATTTTGTTAGATAATGGAAATCCCCCTCCCCGAGGGCCACGCCTAGAGCAGTATCCAGAGTACCTGTCCCTGCCCCTCACCTTTTGGCATGCCTTAGGGTCAATAGGATTTATGAGAAATTTCTCATTTCCATGAAATTGTAGTTTCCATTTTTCTTAGGAGCGAAATTGAACATCTTTTCATAAACTTGTGTCCTTTATTTTCCTGTGGACTGTTCATTTGTCTCTTAAAAAAAAAAAAAAAGAAACACGTGTCCTTTAAAAAAGCTTTGTTGTTGTAAATAGTTTGCATTTTTTACAATTTTGTGTAAATGCAGCTTGTTCTCACTTTTTGTCCGGCCCCTTACCCAGCGCAATCGTTCAGAGTCAGCCGTGTTTGTTGCGTGTGCGCCCAGTTCATTCCTCTTTGCTGCTGAGTGTGTCCCACTGTGCGGCTGGACCAGTGGTTTCCCCACTGCCTGTTGATGGCACTGAGATGTTTCCAGTCTGGGATGGTTATAGATAAAGCAGCTGTGAGCAGCTGTGGATAAGGTCTTTATTTTTCTCCAGAAAATACCAAGGAAAGGCTGGCTCCATGATGGGTCTATGGTTAACTTCTGAAGAAACTACCAAGCTGCCTTTCCAAGGAGTGGCACCATTTTGCATTTCCAGCAACCTGGACGAGAGTTCTGGTTCCTCCCCATCCTCGCCAGCACTTGCTCGTGTCAGCTTTGTCATGTTAGCGTCCCAGTGCAGGGAGTCGGGGTTGCACTGTGGTTCTCATTTCTCCAAGGACTAGCTGTGCTGAGTGTCCTCAGGTGTCCTTGTGTGTTTTCTATACTTAAGTGTCTGGATCTTTGGTCCATCTTTTGATTGGATTGCTTTTTTACTTATTAATCAGTTTTGGGGGTTCACTACATACATCCTTTATTGGAGTCCTTTATCAGGTGAATGATTTGCAGATATTTTCTCCTAGTCTATGACTTGTTTTCTCATTCTAGCTGTCTTTTGGAGGGCTCAAGTTCTTAATCTTTGCCCTTCTTTCTATTGGTTTTTTTGGACTTCTTCTCTCTCAGTTTTTTAATAAAGATCTTTATTTTGGGGGTGCCTGATCGGCTCAGTTGGAAGGGCATACAGCTCTTGATCTTGGGGTTAGGAGTTCAAGCCCCCGCGTTGGGTATAGAAATTATGTAGTTTATTTTATTTTAAGATTTTATTTATTTATTTGACAGAGAGGGATCACAAGTAGGCAGAGAGGCAGGCAGAGAGAGAGAGAAGCAGGCTCCCTGCCGAGCAGAGAGCCCAATGTGGGGCTCGATCCCAGGACCCTGAGATCATGACCCGAGCCAAAGGCGGAGGCTTAACCCACTGAGCTACCCAGGCGCCCCAGCATAGTTTATTTTTAAGCCATCCCTGTACCTGACTTCAGATACCATGTTTCTGGCCTTGCCTTTGTGTTGGTGTTTTCTGTCCGTGCATCCCAGGACTGGTACCACACTGCTGTAACTGTAGGGGCCTAGTACACTGTAATATCTTTAAGGTCAGAACCCTTCACTGATTTTATTCAGAGTTCTCCCAGATACCCTTACAGATTTTTTTTTTTCTCTGTGAAGTCTAAAATCATGTTCAAATGCAGGGAAAAAATGAGGCATTTATTGAGATAGATTTATGCATTGATACTTTGATCAGGGAAGAATTGGCATCATTATGAGGTTGAGTTGTTCTATCCAAGAACAAGGGTTTCTTTCCTTGGGTCCAAGTGTATTTGTGTCCTCGTGCATGTTTTCAGTTTCTCACACTAGCTGCGGCCTTGGATCAAGGTGGCCGGGGGACCCAGAGGCTCAGAGAGGCAGTATTGCCACCACGTTGACGCAGCTTCACCGTAGAATGAGGGGCAGGAGTGACGTGCCTTCCTCTGTCCTACCTGGCGGTCTGAAAGGAACTGGGCAGTCACAGCGAGTGCACGGGAGTCCCAGAGTGGCTGGTGACAGACTAGAAGGGGATGAGGAGAGGGCCAGTTGGATCTCTGAGTGCAGTGCTAGAGCAGCACATTCCTTGGTTATTCCCGCGAACCGTGTTCCTCCACCTCCCTCCTCTGAAAAGTAATGAGGCCTCTTAACTTTGCTCAGTTACCACCAGTCCTTGGATCTCTGTCTCCTTGTGCAGCTGCATCATCAACTGTAGTTGGTAGAAAGGGGTTAGGTTATTTGTTCCCTGGTCCCACTCCCAGCTTTGCTGGATCTCTTCTGGACAGTTTAGTTAAATATGAATGTTCAGAGGTCACTCTGATTAACCAGTGTCCTTCATCCTTGTCCCAGGTTTCTCCATGACCAAAATAGTTCAGCCTTCAAATTCTATCGAAAGAAAGTATTTGAACTATGCCCGTCGATTTGTTTTACATCGTCTCCACTGAACCTCCACACTGGTGAGGGCGCGGATTCTCAGGAAGGCCCCCTTGATCCCATGGAAGGGGAAGGAGAGTTCGAAGATGAGCCCCCTCAGCACGAGGCTGAGCTGGAAAGCCCAGAGGTCATGCCTGAGGAGGAGGAGGAGGACGACGAGGAGGAGGACGACGAGGAGGAGGGGGGTGAAGAGGTCCCCACTCCTAGAGGGTCCTCCAGGTCCGCAGGAGGGGCGGCCAAGTCCGAGGGCTCTGAGGGCAGCCCCCCCACCGATGGCCTCCCGAGTGAGGCGGCCGAAGATGGCCCAGCTGGGGCACCTGTGCTGTCACAGGCCTCCTCGGGGGCCTGCTTCCCCCGGAAGAGGGTCAGCAGCAAGTCCCTGAAGGTCGGCATGATCCCAGCTCCCAAGAGGCTGTGTCTTATCCAGGAGCCCAAAGGTGAGTGCCAGGTCATCGTCCCATCTTCCCTAAACACGGCCTTCCGGTCAGCATCTCAGAGGAGCCGTGCTGCTCAGTGGTGACCAGGAAAAGTTGTGGAGACCAGGTGACGTCGCCTGACAGTATGGAAGAGTTTACTGGCCTTTAGCCTAGGCTTTTAGCCACCAAGATGACCAGCCGGTCCCTGTCCCCCTTCCCGCCTCTGATTATACCTGCCAGCCTGGACTTTATCTCCCCAAACCCCCCAGGGCCAACAGAACATGAAGTTCTTTGGTCTTGTGTTTTTAACCTAAAATAATTGTGTTTTGCATACCACTCTGAAATGTTCCTGCGAAGCTCGCGTTGCCAGCTGGTGTAGGGCTGGCAGTCCGAGGACGCGCTGCTATGTTGGTGCAGCGGCCGCGTGTCAGCATCAGAGGCTGCTCGGTGTTCCCAGGATTGCTCACAGTCCAGGGGAGGAGCCCCGGCCGTGAAGGGCACAGGCCTTGGTCATGTCAGCTGTTTCCTGCCCGTGACCTTGGGGAGTACCCAGCCTTCTGAGTCCCTGGACGGCCCAGGGCACTGATGCCTGCTTAGTGATGATGAGGAAGGAGGGCACAGGTGGGGCTGGTCTTGGGCAGGGTTAGTGGGAGCCATGTGCCCTGTGCTCTGCTGCCTGGGCCACTGGAGGTCATCTGCTCTTCTTCCATGGGGAGGGTTAAGATTCTTGAAGTACCGTTTAACAGCAGTAACACACATCCTTCTTAAGGGCACAGTCTGAGGAGTTTGGGCAATCGTGTACAGCCAGGACACGATTCTCCAGAAATGTCTGTCTCTCTCTGTGGTCCCCTCCCCATTTTCTGGCCTCATGGTCGTGCTTTTTCTAGACTGTCAGCAGGCAGAATGGGATCGTGTGCGACCTTTTGATGGATCGGCCCTGGCCCTCATTATTCCTCATGCCCCCCACCCTTCCAGGCGTCATCACAAACGCAGGCCTGGGCTGTGCTTACTGCCATACCTTCCTGGGAAGTGGTTGTCAAACGATGCCCCGTCTTGTGTCACCTCCGTGCTCACTGTCACACTTACTCCCAAGAGCATCAGTTCAGTTTCTCCTGCTGACAGAACAGTCCTATGGTTTGTGTTTGGAAACTTTGGCACTACCACGGATTGCCAGCTGTTCTACCCAATTCAGACGTCCTTAAGAACTTCCTGCTGCTGCTGGCAGCCTCTCCCAATGCCTCAAGTCCCTCATGGGGAGAAAGTGGAGCTCTTTCTGTTTTGGAAGCTCTCAGTTCCTTGGGTTGTTGATGAGAAAAAACCCACCCCTGCTGATCTCTTCTTCATTAAAAATAAGGCTATAATGTGATTCAGTGCTCTGTATGAGAAGCATGGTTGTTTTGTACTGGAAAGTTCTATGTGGACTTTTAAGTCTATCAGCGGAACAGTTGCAGAAACTAGGAGGGCAGGAGACTGCGAATAATTTATTTGTTGAAGCAAAACGTGTTCTTACGGTCATGGAAAGTGGCCTGTGCATCGAACCCTTCATCATACACGCGGGAAGTCCTGTGTTAAAGTAGACTCTTGCCCATCGAGCAGCCCTCACCGGGGCTCGTGTATTCCTGCCTTTGTGCTCCTGGTGCCCATGATTCCTGAGAGGCAGCCCTGCAGGCTGTGGTGCGGGCGGTGCTGAGAGAGGTGGAGAAATTGACGTGTGTGTACGGGTATGTTTCTCGTGTCTTCCAGTTCATGAACCAGTTCGCATCGCCTACGACAGACCTCGGGGGCGGCCCGTGTCCAAAAAGAAGGTGAGCATGAACGAGTTCTCACACGTGCCATAGTTAGTCGGTGTTTGCTGGAGTTTTAGGGGACACTGTGGCTTGTAACTACAGAACACTGGTACTTTAGACCTCACGACGTACAAGGCATAACAAACAGCCTTTTTTCTCGGGGATTTCTTGAAACTGTTTTGTGTTGCCGGAAGCACAGGTGGGTAATAATGTGTTTATTTAACCAATAGGCGAGGCCTGATACACACAGCGTGTTGGGAGAGATGAACAAGGTAACGTCCTGGCCCTTAAGGTTCAGATTTAGCAGGCTATAAATGTAGCTAAAGAGCTCGCTGATTGGCTAGAAGCCAAGACATTGTGTGGATGGGTCTGTGCACACACATGTGCAGTAACTGGCAGACCCTGCCCATGTGCCAGGCCCCGTCTGCCACCTGGAGGCAGCAGCAAGCAGGGCCAACAGGGACAGGAATGTGTGAGACTCTTGTGGCCCGTGTGCTGGGCGTAGGTCTAAGGGAAATAGGGAATAATGTGGGGTTGGGGGTGCCATTTATTCAGGGAGGCCTGGGAGAGGCCCCAGGGTGGTCTTATGTCAACAGTTAGCCCTTTGTGGCACCCACATGGGGTGGGAGGCGAGGAAATAAAGGCAGTGAGGCCCCAGGTCATAGAAGGCCTGTAGACAGATGTCAGCAGTGAGGCTTCTTCTCTGGGGGAGGCCCTCGGGGACCCATGGTGGTAGTTTGAGGGGAAGACATGGCCGCTGCGGCTGCTGTGCTGAGATCAGCCTGTCAGCGGGGGGGCTGGGGAGAGCCAGTGGCCGGGAGGGTGAAGACACAGTCAGTGGGACTTGCCAGTGGATTGCGTGTGGAATAGCCAGAGCCCAGCATGCAGGATGCCTCCGTGGTTGTCTACCCGGGCAGCTCGGAGTTCGGAGCTACCACTGTCTGAAATGGACAGACCCGGGGCGGGGGTGGGGGGCAGGTCTTCAGGGAGATGGGGTGCACTCCAGACAGGTGCATACGTGGGGGCAGGTAAGGCTGGCCGAGGTCACCTAGGACATATGTGGGCACGTCCCAGGTCCTTAGAGGTCAGGGAGATGAGTTGGGAACCAGGTGAGGGCTCTGCCGGTGTGGGGTGGTCAGGAAAGCCTGTGTGGAGGACACCTATTCGAGAGCACTGTCGGTCTCAGCAGCCAGAGGCAGGGTCGGCGAACAGCAGGGAGGGGGGACTTTCCTGGGCCCAAAGCTCGTGGTCGTAACTGATGTGCTCAGTTTGAATTGGTGTTCACACCCAGCTGCGCATCCAGTGGTCTGGGTGAGGGGGCACCCGGGCTCGGGCTCAGCCTGGCCCCCTGATCTCAGCATGTGGTTCCCGAGTCTCCGTTTGTACATCTGTGACTTGGTTCAGAGGGGGTTTATGGGTGAAACGAAATGCATGTTAACTGGCTGTGCAGCCGAGGCCTGCGAGCTCGTCTCTCCGTGGGCCAAGAGCTTCCAGCTTGCTCCCTCTGAGCCGCTTTCCCGGAGGGGTGCGGATCTGCCCTTAGGGGACCTGCGGCCGGCCTTTCCCTTGCCTCACCCACCCTCTTGTCCTCCCACACTTGTTCCTGCTCAGACCCTCAGACTCTCACCATTACCCTCTGCACCAGCTGATCAGGATGGAGGAGCCCTTTCCCCTTGCGGCCTTCTCAGCCTACCCAGACTGTCCTCGGTGTTAAGTAAATGTTTTTAAAAATAGGCTCAGGTGGTAGGGACAGTGTGTACTTATGAATATTCATGAGTAAATGAAAACATTTTTTCTTTTTTTTTAAGATTTTACTTGTTTATCTTGCAGAGAGAGAACATGCGTGCATAAACAAGGGATGCGGCAGGTGGAGGGAAAGGGAGAAGCAGGCTCCCTGTTGAGCAGGGAGCCCGATGTGGGGCTCGATCCCAGGATCAGGACCTGAGCCGAAGGCAGACGCTTGTCTAACTGAGCCATCCAGGCACCCCATAAACAGAAATATTTTCTGCTCACACTGGGCAGGCTCTCCAGAGGCCCCCCCAGGCCTTTTAACCTGTCTTCCCACAGCCGGCTCTGGCGCCCATGTCTTATCCAGGGCTTCTTGCTCCTCTACTTGTAGGGTCTTTCCCAAGCCCCATTCCTTCCAGCTTTCCCAGCTCTCAGTGAGGTCTACTTTATGCTAGACATGGATCCCAGAGTCCCAGTAAAACCCAGTCTCTGCCAGACCTGGGACGGGGCAGCTGGACAGATGAACAGGTCATTCAGGTTTGCTGAGCAATGTCTGAGGGCGACCGGAGAGGTTTCCAGGATAGGGTCACTGCTTAAGTTCCGGAAGCCCACAGTTACGTTCCAAACGGGGTGGGGGAGTGGGGAGGACCCTGCAAGCTACTTTTTCACATAGAGTCTCTCTACAGCAGGTTCATGGCTTGTTCGGCCCCCTCCTGCCTCAGCCCTGCCTCCCCTCTGACTCCTATATGTAAGGTTTTATAGGCGAGATAAACAAGACACCAGGCGAAGTGGGTGCAAGGCAAGATTTATTAAAGGCGCTCTCCCGCGAAGTTTCAGGGCTCAGGAGAAGGGGAGCCAGGAAAGTTGCGCTGGGAGGAGGTGGGCAGGTGCTCTCTCGGGTGAGGTTTGGGTGAGGAATTTGGGTGAGGTTCCTCGACTCTGACTCCACTCTGGAAAGGGGAGTGGGGGAAGTCAGTCGCACTGGGAGAGAGTTGGCGGGGGTCTTTTATCTGTTTCCTGCATAGGTATCGGGTTACCTATGGAGAGGTGACCTGGGCATATGTACATCCTTTAGGTGGGAGAGTCAAGGGTGAAGGAAAGCTGGGTGTGGGGGGGGGGTTGCTGGAAGACGGTGGACCCAGAGGTCATTTCTGTTGTTCCTCCTGCACTCCCAGTGACCCAACACTATACACCAGGGGCCTTGCTGCCTCAAGCCTCTGCTCTGGTTACCCCCAGCGTGGGGCTGTACCCTCTGGTCATCACCACAACTTAGGGCTCTTCCTGCCAACCCCTTGGCCCCAAGACCCTCCAGCCCCTCGGGGTTTTCCTCATGGTCTTAGCACTGCAGTGCTAGTGGCCACACTGGGGCCTGAGAGGCTGGTCTGGCTGGGTTCTGTGGGGGCATCTCTTACTCTCCACTTTTAGAAGCCCCAGCCCACCCAGGGAGTGGTGCTGGGAAGTGGGAAGCGGCCCGTGGCTTCGTCCCAGTGTCTCCCAGTGTCTGTGGAATCAGAGTCAGTTGCGGCGGGGGGAGCGGGTGCTGGACTGTGCCAGGTGCAGCACAGGCAGACCCTTGCTCCGGGCGCTTTGCGCAGACCACGTGCTATATCCTATCTCTCCTCAGAAACCCAAGGACTTTGACTTCGCCCAGCAGAAGCTGACTGACAAGAACCTGGGGTTCCAGATGCTGCAGAAGATGGGCTGGAAGGAGGGCCACGGCCTGGGCTCCTGTGGGAAGGGCATCAGGGAGCCCGTCAGCGTGTACGCAGCAGGCGCTTGGGGCCAGGGATGGGGTGGGCAGCGTGCTTGGAGAGAAGAGGCTTTCTCTGGGATTCTTGTCCTGAGTCTTTTCATCCAAAGCCTGATTTCTTGGCTCCCCTCATGTTAAACATGGCTTCAAACTGGCAGGGTTTTTTCCCTGACAAAGGGAGTCTTCAGATGAGGTGAGAAGCAGATGATTTACATATACAGGTGTTCCTACAGGCTCCTTGCTGCACTCACACAGATGAGTTAAATGGTTTCTTGGCCCCTGGCATTTCAGCCACATTCCTTATTGTCAGAAAAGCTCAGTGGTAATTCTAGGTACTTACAATAAAAACTACTTTGCTTTTTCCGGGAACCCATAAGCCAGCTAGCCAGGGTGGGAGAAGATGGCCCAGAGTTTGTTAGGCCCCATTCATATCCAGTAGGGATTTCATTTAAAACTGAGCTTACCACCTGCTGGGGGAGGCTTTCTGCTGTAATCAGGCTTCTGAGCGCGCCCCTCAGAAAGTCCACACACCCGCGCAGGTGAGTACCCTTGTTCCACGCGGTGACTCGTGTCTTTCCCTCTCCTTTTCCCTGTTGCGTGTCCCACATGCCTCCGTCCACTCTGACTCCTTGTGCCATTTCCAGTCCCCTGGTGGCCAGGCTCTGTGCTTGGGTGTGGCTAACTCTCCGTTTTGCTCCTAGGGGAACTGCGTCGGAAGGGGAGGGGTTAGGTGCCGACGGGCAGGAGCACAAGGAAGACACATTTGACGTGTTCCGTCAGAGGATGATGCAGATGTACAGACACAAACGGGCCAACAAATAGGTATGTGTGGGAGCTGGTGCATGGGGCGTTCCGCCCAAGCTGACGTGCTGGTACGTAGAGGCGGTTCCTCCCCCAAAACCAAACAGGAAACCACACACACACACACACACACGGACGTGCACGAAAACATTCTGTGAGGGTAACAAGGAGTGTCTGGATGTGGACGTGTCCCACCTCTCCCCTTCCAGGTTTGGTTGAAGGCGCGAGCCCGGCGCTCACAGGCGTGCAGCCCGCCAGCGGGCCTTGGGAGGGGCCTGGTGTCCCGCGAGCGTGAGGGCGATCTGGAAACCGGCGCTGCACCGCGCAGCTGCTTTGCCACATCCCTTTTCTGAGCATCTTCAAATCCTTTTCCTTCTCAAGGGCCTTGGGCCCATATAAACATTCCCTTCTTTCTCTTCTCTTCTTAGTAGCCTTCCCACCTGTAATTTCCAACTCAGTTATGAACAAAATCATTCTCTCCCTGAATAGATGAAACCATTGGTGAGACAAATAAGGCTCGAAGCAGCAGTTACTCTTAAAGCAGCACCTCTGCCCGGATCTGCCCTGGAGCCAGTGGCCAAGTAGGTCTGGTGTGTCCACGAGAGACGAGCGCCTCTGCAGCTCTGGTGTGGAGGTCCCGCTGGCTTTTCTTCTTAAAAGAGAGTGCCCCACTTCGATCTGCTTTTTGCCTTTCCCCCTCTTCCAAATGCTTGCGGCAGCCAGTCCCCTGCAAGTCTTTCCTGGCTCCCACCACAGAAGGTGGTGCTGCCCTTGGAAGCACCGGTCCCTTGTTCGTGCTCCGGCGCCGGCTCTGGTCGGGTCTCCCGTCGCAGGGCGCCTTGCTCTCTGAGGTGCTCTCTTTGCAAACTTGGTGCCAAAATGATGACAGATGGGGGCTTTTCATTGCTTCTAGGCCGTAAATAGGGGCTGTAATCCGGTATTAGTGGAGTCTGCTTTGGCACACAGCCTGCGGGCTGGGGCTCAGGAGCTCTCCGAGAAGCGGAGATGCTGGATTCCACGAACGCGTGACTGATGGAGGCTCGGCTCTTACATGCCTCCCGAGAGACGGAGTGGAAGTTGAGCGACAGGATAACAGAGCTGTGTTTGGTGGGGAGTAATCATTATGTTAATGAAACTTCCCTCAAATTCGCTGATCTCCCTAGAATCCACAAACTGCAGTTTGCTTTTTTGAAAAACCACATATGGAGTCTCTTCTACGAAGGGGCGGGGGTGTAGACTCTTCAGGAAGCTTCGTTTCTGGCATGCACCTCAGGGCAAAGAATTGTGTTGTCAGGGCCCTTGTACAGAACAGAAAGCGTCCTTGGGCGGGCTTGCAGCTGCTCGCTATTTCTAAGTGCGTGATCGCCGCTTTTCCCTCTTCTCCCGGCGCACACTCCTTGCAGCTATGTGCAAGGTTCTCGGGCTGCGGGGCTCTCAAGCCTTTCTCGTAAAGCAGCAGCGTGGAAGCTTTAAATGCGTGCTCAGATCTGGGAACCTTGGGATCCTGCTGACTCTGCAAGCTGGGGGGACAGAGGGGCACAGCTGTGAGTTACCATGTCGGCCCATCTTCCGTTTCTTAAAGCCATAGGCCTCACCTCTAGGCCTGGGCTCCTCAGGCTCCGTCTTGAGGGGTCCACACCACCACCACCACCACCCACCCCTGTCGCAGGCCTGTGCTGTGTCTCTTCGCATCAGGTGCGGCCTCCAGGCTCTTCTTGCTCCTGGCTGCTCTGTTGTGCGGGCCCCTGGCAGATCTTTATGGCCAGGGAGATGACGAGACTCCTCGGCACAGCTGAAGCAGCCTGCAGGGTGGGGGGCCACAGCTGTAGGGGTTCGTCTCCTTTCTTTCCTCATCCTTCCGGTAGCTTTCCTTGTTGGCCGTGGGTAGAGCATATGGATGGGACTCTGAGAACAGGGCCTTGGTCCTCTCTGGCCTTTCACAGTGCGCCCGTTGGCCCCGAGCAAGACGTGGACTCCCCAGATAGGTTCTGGCTCTTTCTCTGCAGCATAGATAGCTCTGCCCATCCTCTTCACTCTGTGCTAGTATCTTCACGCTTGGTCGACTCCGCTTTTATCTGTAAGTAAAATAGGGATTCCCAGGCTACAAGCCCTGTCCCTGCAGCCTCCTGCCACTCTTCCTCCTGGGGACACCCCACTTTGAGCTGACCCTGGGAGCCTTTGGCAAACGTCAAAGGGAATACCTTCTTGATCCTGGAATGTCCTCTGAGCACTCAGGTGATGCTTTTCCTGGGGGGTGGCATCATGGGAGCTGGGGCGGAGCCTGATGGTGTGTCCTCATGCCAGCCGTTGGCTAGGGACCAGGGCACACAGGCCCTCGGCATTTGCCCTCGCCCTCTCTGGCAGGGGCTGCTCGCAGGGAGTGTGTGTGCGAGCGCGATGTGCGGTTGCGTAGCCTCGTCAAAGTCACAGTGTCTTTTCTGTCATTCTAGTTCCAGGGTCTCTTCCATGAGGACGACAGGCATCCGGAAAGTGCTAACTCACCACTTTGGGTGCTTACTGTCTCTGGCTTGTTTCCATCACTGGAAATCATATAGAGAATTTTAGCGTTTTTGGTCCTTGGTAAAACCTAGAAGACATTTGTGATGTTACAAAACGGAAGTTTTTCGGTTTGTTTTTTTCTTTCTCTCTTTTTTTTAATCTAAGAAGTTGTGAATGTTGTTAATCATTTAGCAGTTGCAATAAATGTAGAGGAAACCCAATTTTCTGTGGTCTCTGGTGATGTGTTTTGAAAACGTGGTGGGTCGGGGACCACGTGACGGATGCTGGAGTACCTGCAGGGAAGCGGGTTGGACACGCCCGACCTCCCAGGCGCGCCCTCTGCCTGCCGGAGCCTTTCCGCCAGCTCGCCCCCGCCGGCAGGCCTGTTGAGTTGCTGGGAAAGCCCGGAGGGTGCCAGAGAGCAGATAGGGACCAGGGCTGACTAACCATAGGGCGTGGGCATGTTCTCTTCTGAGTGGGGCATTACTGCTGGGTATGAAACCCGCCTTCGAGAGCGTCAGGGATACCTGCCCTACTGCCCCCCTCAAGGCTTCACCCGCTCCCGGGTCGGGGCTCCAGCTGTCAGGTGTCCAACCGGGGCTACTGGTCAGGACTCCCCCTGACCAAAGAGGCCTGCCTTTGGGGCATCTTCTCAGCAACCTCAGCTCCCTGCTGTTCCTGCGGGCCACGACTCTGGGTCTGACTCCTTCTGGCCCTGTGGGGAGGGTCCGAGGGTAGAGGCTGCATCAGGCACAAACCAGACCTGCAGGGGCCTCCCCCTGAGGGCAGACCAACGTGGGGCAGCCAGGCTGCTGTTGGACCCAGGGCAGAGGGGGCCCAGGAAGGGGCCAGTTAGGGTTGGATGAAACCGGGCCCCCTAGGAGCTGATGTGGAAACCCAGGTGCCCCTTACCCTACTGTGTCCTGGAGAACATCCTTCTCTTGACTTCATCTTTTTTTTTGTTTCTTTTTAAGATTTTATTTATTTACTTATTTATTTGGCAGAGAGAGAGAGATCACAAGTACGCAGAGAGGCAGGGAGAGAGAGAGGGAAGCAGGCTCCCTGCTGAGCAGAGAGCCTGATACCCAGGACCCTGAGATAGGGCATGAGCCGAAGGCAGAGGCTTAACTCACTGAGCCACCCAGGCGCTCCTTTTGCCTTTATCTTGACAAGAGCCCAAGAGGACAGTGTCTGACTGTGGACCTTAGTGCCCTCCCTCCCTGAGATGGTCACTCGGACCCCACAGCTGCCCCACCTCATCTCCCACCCCTTCTCAAGAGACTGGAGGGAGGGGATGTGCAGAATGGCTCTCCAGCAGCTGCCCCTAACAGGCCACCACCTCATTTTGTCACCTCCCGGGGCTGGTGAAGGTCACTTAGATAAGGACACAGGGAGAAAGAGTCTCCAGCCTGAGACACCCATGTTTAGGCTTTGACCTTAGGCTTTGTTTCCACTCCGAAGCCTGGGGAGGATTTTTTTCTAGTCTGGCAGGAAGGATTTCCTCTGCTCTCTTGTTGTTCAGAGCTAACTGGGACCTAAATATGCCTTTCTCAGCCGGGAGGGCCCCTCCCCTTTCCTTCTCCCCAGCACCCTTTCCTGGAAGCCTTCGGGGTGCCCCAAGGCCCTGAGAAGAATGTGTAAAGCAGCTTGTGTTTTTAAAGCAGGATTTTGCTCAGCATGAACGCATGGTGTCCATAACGTGGGTACGTGATGCACGCAGACCTACCTGCATGTTCAAGCAACACGTGTATGTATTCTTTGCAAACAATGGAAGCACATACTTGCAGAGTGAGACACAGAAGCAGCCCCCCCACTCCCACATAAACATGAAATATAAATATCAAATAAAAACTTTTTTCAAAATAAGACTCCAGGGGCGCCTGGGTGGTTCAGTGGTTAAAGCCTCTGCTTTCGATTCGGTTCATGATCCCAGGGTCCTGGGATTGAGCCCCACATCGGGTTCTCTGCTCAGCAGGGAGCCTGCTTCCCCCCTTTCTCTCTTTGCCTGCCTCTCTGTCTACTTGTGAGTTCTCTCTGTCAAATAAAATCTTAAAAAAAAAAAAAAAAAGACGCCAGGTATACACCCTGGAGACTTGAGTCCTCATGCGACTGGAGCTCCACAGTCAAATAAATAAATAAATCCTTTTAAAAAAAATTTTCCCCAGAAAATTTACATATATATGTAATGAACTGTTGTTTAAGTTCCCCACCCAGAGGCATTTGAGTTGTTCCCAAACCTTGGCTCCTACATCCCAGCACTCTCTGTGGATAAAGCCCTCGAAATGGCATTTCTGGGACCAAGGGCATGCTCCTGGCATCTCCCCACTTCACTGCCTGCCTCCACAGCATTCCTGTGCTATGCAATTTTGGGGTGACCCCGTTAGCACCCCAGTTTCTCTAGCTGTGCCTGCGTCTCCGGGATGTGGGGGGCTATGGTCCCTGGAAGAGGCAGGCTCTGCCCTCAAGGTGGACTGAACCACAGAGCGTGGGCCCTGACCCCTCCAGACCCAGTCCCCATGCTCTGCTCCAGATAGGGACCCAGCTGCCACCCCTCTCTGCTTCCTCCAGATTCCCCCACTCTGAGCCCCCAAACCTTGAGCTTCCTGCGAGTGACCTTGTTTGGCCTGGGCAGAGGGGAGCCTGGGTCCCTCCAGTTCTTGATGTCCCCTTCCATCCAATGGCTGCCTGGTGTCCACCCACGGAGGTGGGTCTCGAAGGTTAGAGATGGGCCAGCAGGGAGGAGGCCACAGCAACCCTCCCCACAGCTAGTGAGCAGTGGGACTCTCCAAGCCTTGGTTGCCTTCCTGGAAAATGGGGCCTTGGGCTTGCAGAATTAAAAGCAGTAATCCAGGGCCTGTCACGGAGAGAGGGCTGACTTAGGAGGGGCTGGTCCTGATCTGGAGCCTGTTTCCCCTCCTGGGAGGCAGACCTTGTGCATGAAGATCCCCAAGACCAGTCACGGTACACCCAGGCCCTGCTCCGCTGCCAGCAAGAGGGTGGGGTCACACCCCCAAATTAACCCACTTTGAGAGAGGAAGGGTTGAGGCCTAAGGTCAGCCAGAGAGGAGTAATGTGGAACTCCCGTGTGTTTGGGGGGTTGAGAGTGGCAGGGTGGAGGGAAGGTGACAGTACTGGAGCTCGAGCCAGATTCTTGCCTAGCTCCCACTCTGCCAGCTGCCCCCCCCTGAATTGTACTCTTGGGGAAACTGAGGCTCAGAAAGAGGAAGAGCCTGGCCCCAGGCTGCACCGGGTCTTCAAAGCCTTCGAAGTCTTCACACCTGCTCCAGCCTCAGTTTCCCCATGTCGGTGGGTATGGCACGGCATTGCAGAAGGCAGCAACCTTTCCAGCCAGTGGCTGGGACTCAGAATTTAGCCCCGGAGTCAGGTATCAGTTCCTACATGTGAATGTCAAGTGTTAAGGGGCTCCAAAGCCACCCAGCCGGCCAACATGGGGGGTGACGCTTCCCCCTGCCCCCAGACCCAACCATGCCTGTGGGGACCTCCACTCAACCTCCAAGGCCCACTTGCCACCCTTCTCCCTCCAAATAGAGCCCTCTGGCTTCCACAGGCCTGTCCCTGACCCCCTGAGCTAAGGGTGCCCAGCTCTGTCGTACCCAGGCTGGGGCCGCCTCCACAGGAGACCACACCAAGTGAATGTTCAATGAAAGGACAACAAACAAGTGAACTGTGTCTCAAGTCCCATCCTTACAGAAGGGACCCGCCTTGGGATGCGCGGTAAACCCTAGCCACGTCTCAGCTTGGGGTTATGACAACAGGTGACCTTGAGCAAGCTCCATGCCCTCTGGGACTCCATTGCCTGC